ATAAATAAAATTCATAGAGTTCACTGAGAAAGAGAAGTTTACACAAGCACTGGAGTTGAAACGAACTGAGAAAGTTTCTGGTTCTGACCAAACTGCCTTGGAATGGATTACTCAGAAGCTCTATCTCTATTCAAGGCCATCAAGGAGCAGCAATGAAACCCACGTCCTGCCTTTCTGAGCAGATCTACTATGCTGGAAGATGCTGGTGGCCGGTGTGCACAATCAATGCAGCTGGACTCCAGGCTTAAGAACAATCAGGGTGAGCTCCACCCCAGGCAAAGTTTTAAACACATTTTGTTGACAGCTTTCAGTTTTTTGTTTCTTCTTATGTGTTTAACAATGAGTGCCTGTGGCAGCAAGACTGCCCGTCACTCTGAGTCTGGAACATCATTTGTGAGGATTCCTGGATGAGTCTGGACTTCTTAAAAATCAATTCTCTTAAGGATTCTAAACAATTTGAATTTGACCAATTTTAACACAGACTAAGCTCTCTGTTGACACTGCCCTTATCAATGATATGTCCTACTTGAGGTTCTGTTATACAACAAATGTGCTGATCCTTTCTGTCCCATGTTTTTTGAGACAGAAAGTCATACACAACTAGAGCGACTATATTTTCACAGTCTTAATTTGACAAATATATAAATTTAGCCAATATAACTCACTTTATTGTGTTATTTCTTAAAACCTTGGTAACCATTGACATTAAATTCATGGAACATTTAAAGATGAAAGAAAAGCTGTTAATTCTGAATTTCATTCTTGGCCTCTTTAAAACAGTGTTACACTCCCTAGTTTTCCCAATCACATTGGCCTTGATGATACAATTACTGTGTTCATCACAAAGCTAACTGCAGATCTGTCAGAAGGGCCTGTGTGAACGACAGACAGCTCACTTCCTACTTGTGGAACAGTATATTAAAGGAGCCTGTTAACATGTAGTTTAAAACTCAGAAGAAACTCTGAACAGCTGAAACGCCTTATAAATAGCGTAGACCCAGAGGAAGTGCAAACGTCTGCATTGTGAATTGTAGATCTTAATTACCGACAATGGCTGGTACAGCAAGTAGCACGGAAAAAAAGTGAAACAGTTGCACTGTTCATGGTTGGCAATAATTCTTCAGGAAAATATTTACTATCAATCAGTTATGAGAAAAGGGACTCTGTGCTCGTAAAACAGCACGTTGCTTCTCATACCAGGACCATTTTGCTTCAGCATAATCTGAATTTAAACAGCTTGTTTCCTGCGGATATAATTTTGGAAATAAATAAAACAAGTCTTCTATCAAAATCCGGAGTGAGTGGGAAGGAACATCACATCTTTCTATCTCAGTCAGTTTCAAACAGATTATTAGTCCCAAGTAAAAAACAGTAATAACAAACAACAAAAATACAGAATGTACACAAGGCCACTGATGGGCTTATTCCAAAGAAAGACAGACCTTTCCCACTGTAGGCCAGGTATCAAGGTAGAAGTGCCCGAACAATTCAATTTTAACTGCACATGTTTATGGAAGGGGTGTGAGGTGTAAGGGTAAATTATGGAAAAGCCTCAAACCAAAATTTTCTGTAGTATTTCAATAAAGTCAATAACAAGATAACATAAAAATTAATGTTCTCAGTTTTTTTCATAATTAAAAAACATGAAGGTTGACAATTAGGTACAATGTGATTATAGATTTTAAAGACTAAGCTGACAGTCAATAACCGCTGTCCATTTAAAGCTACAATAAATATAGAGCTCATCATGTTCCCCAAACAAATCCCATAAAGCACCAGGGCTGTGAGCAGCAGATGAGATGCTCTAAAAAGCAAACTAGCTGGCATGGTGGTGCATCCAGCACTTGGGAGGCGGAGGCAGGTGGATTTCTGTGAGTTCAAGGACAGCCTGGTTGATATGGCCAAAGCTACATCGGACAGACAGACAGACAAAACAAAACAAAAAAGCAAACTATATTCAAGATATTTCATGGCTTCAAATACTACTTGGACCCCTCCCCATTTTTATTTTTAAATGTTTCTTTCTTGAACTCTTTCTTTCAGGAGACTGCTGTCAGCCTAAGGTAGCTTATGAAGCAGCTGTGCTTCCTTACAGGAACTGAATAGTTACAGGGCAACCAGCAGAGGAAAACTACACACAAAATACTACAGGTTTCATCTCTGCTTTTGAGAAGGACCAATGTCTTCTGTAAAATGCAAACAAGTAATAATTAAAAGGTCTAAGACTACAATTAGTATTGATACCCAAACCAAAATTACTCTGACTGAAATTCAGTTGCTTTGAACCATAAGGGGGAAAAAAAGGCTGGCTTCACTGTATTTCAGTGGCGTTACATGGAGACAGCTGGACATGTAGGCCACAATGGAGACCAGTTTGAATCAGTATCAGACGCCAGTTTCTGAAGGAAAGTCCTCACAGCCACGTCAGTGTAGCAGACAAAACTACTGTTAAGAACTAAAGGTGAAGAACAAGAACTAGAGAAATGCTTACAGAACTACAAAAATATCTTTGAGTCATTTCTTTTAAAGGTCAAGCAGTAAATGAGGCCAGGAGAGACAGTATGAAATCATGAGACAGATATAACATGTTTAGCAATAAGAAAGGAAAACTCTCATTGTTGCCATGCTAGAGGAGGCCACTGCAATAAACATTTTTTTCAGTTACGTATTTTTATTTGATGATTTGGCTCAAATCTGAAGCAATGAACTAGAAGACAGGATGTGGGCCAATAAAAGGAACCAGGAAGCTGGTTGTGTTCCAAATGGAAATTACAGAAATCATTATTCAATTAGAGTGGTTAAGGGTACAATGAAAGAAAATAGGTGTCAGAATAATGTTAAAACAAGCAAGAATGGGACGAGAAGGTCACCATCTGGGAGCAAGTGAAACAGACTGATGAGCAGCAATGAGCAAACTTATTTCCTCACCCAAGAGCATGGAAGGAATTATACCACCGTGCCAGACGCCACAAGATTTCTAACCGTGCACCACTGAAGTAGAGGGTAGAAAAAAGAAAAAAGAACAGCAAAAACAAATCCACCCCACACTATACACACAGCAACAAGGCTAAGGAGTGTAGAAACACTGGCTTACCACGTACAGGAAAACAAAAGGAACAGATGCTCAGTTGGCCAGCTCTCAATGAAACTCATTAAAATTGTCGCCCTGTCCTTGGATTGGTGGTCATGCGAAATTTGTGCCTTGTTTAGCCAGAAGTAACTTGTGATGAAGGAGAGAACAGCATGTCCAAACAAGAATTGAAACACTTGTTGATCTATACTCAATGCTAGATATAAAACAGGATCAAGTAGCACTTACAAACTGTTACTAAGTAATTGAAAATTAAATGTAACTTACACTACTCCTCTTTTTTTTTTGTAGCAAATTAAGATGTGAACTTAAGGCACAATTTGATGAACCTACCATTTGCAGCTACAATATAAAATAAATTCTTACATTTCTCATATGGCTAAGTCCAATGGCCACAAGCTGTATGTTTGCAGTAATAAAGCAAGGTCAGGAACTGCCATGTATTTTGGGAAATATAATAAAAATTATTGTTGCTCCTATGTCCTGATTGATCATGTCCCTCCCTAACCACCTAATGTGTAAGAACAGAGTCTCCATGAACAGAATTAGAGCACTATGCAATAAGTAAATGAATGAACAGATTAATAAGAGATCCCAGAGGGCTTAGCTCATCCCTTCCATCCTGAGATTATATTATAGCAAGGATTCCATCTATGAAGAAGAGTCAACTTCCAACTAGACATTGAATCTACTGTCACCATGATCTTCCCATATCTAGAACTATAAAAATAAGTCACTGTTTATAAGCTACCTTGTTTATTTTTGGTTGTAATAACACAAAAGAAATTAGCTCTTCTTGAGATTTATAACAAAGATGGAGTTGACATGACATCAAGTCCTATCTCTAATAATGACAGTAAATAGGGGCCTATATAGGACACAAGAGATGAAGCAGAAAGTTGGAAAAGTTGTAAAACAGTCACCCCCCAAAATGGTAATAAAGGTTATTTTTGCCTAAAAATAAAGACAAACTCTAGAAATACAACTCATACTGAACGTTATCCTCAAGACAGTAAAGTTAACAAAAAAGTTATCCCCAGTCAATCTAGAAAATTGAAAGAAAAAAATTAAGATTTCTAATTAAATTTTTGTGTATGGGTGTTTTGTCTATATGTATGTCTGTAGAGGCCAGAAGAAGACACTGGGTCCTCTGGAACGGGAGCTGCAGATGGTTGAGAGCCGTCATACGGTGCTGACAGGTAACCCGGGTCCTATACAGGAGCAGCCCTTAACCAATGAGCTCTTAACCAATGAACCCCTCTCCAGCCCTGAAGATTTCTAATTTTTAATATTTTTGTATCTAGAAATATAACATACATTTATACATAAAAGACTTGGCTCATATGTCAGCTAAATACATGTTTCCACTCAAAATCACCAAGTAAGACATTTCTCAAGAAAGAAGGGCACAACCTAAGCTGGGACCTCTGCAGCAGTCTCACGCATGTGGCTCACACTGTCACCAGCAGGGTATTTCTGGCGTGCTACACCTGCACTTAAAGGAGGCCAGGCATGGCGGTGCTGGCCTTTAATCCCAGCACTCACGGGGCAGAGGCAGGTAGATCTTGGGGCCAACCCGGTCTACATCATCAGTTTCAGGACAGTCAAGGCTACACAGAGAAACCCGTCTCGAAAACATCAAAAACCAAAACAAGGAACAACAACAAACCACAAAGGAAATTACAAAACAAACCGCTACCTTATACAAATCTTACTGATCAGTGTGACTGGATAATCAAAAGATTTTGCTGCAACTGAAGAGATAGAAAACCCAACCTTCAGTTCCCTCTGTATCTTTTCATTACCATATGATCTGACAATAATCTGTGGTAACAACACTGGATAAAAGCATCTACAGAAGTAGCACCATCACAGTGTGAGATGTTAACTGGTGTACATTGTTACTTACTTTGGCCACACAATTTTCAGTCTTCATAGCAGTGCTTGTCAGACATACTGTCTCTTGGTTTATGCAGAGCCTGGCACAGCTATTGTACGTCTGTAGAGACAAGTTAAAAAAAATCATTTCTTTTGTTTTGTTTTAGGTACTGACATACATAGCTGTCAGATTCTCTTATATTTCTCTAAATCAACATACAATTCTACATATAAATTTGTGGTTGCTGAGGGACCAAGTAGAGAAGAGGAGGCAAGGATGGAGCCTATAGAAGCCGATGGTGTGCACCCATGAACAAGCAAGCAGTGAATTCATGGTTTGAATGGGAGATAAAGGGTTAGATAAACATCTTTTTAAATGCAAACTTTAATGCTGGTATAATCCCAGCACTACAGATACCAACGTGGGAATACAGTAAGTCTGAAGCTAGTCTGAGCAACACAATGTCTGAAAAGAATTTAAGAACCCATAGTCTGTTTAAAATAGCAATTAATTATCAGTCAGACATGGTGGCACATACCTGTAAACTAATCACTGAGGAGGACTGTGAACTGGAAATCAGACCAGGCTATACAACCAGTTCTAGACCAGCCTGGATTAAATGGCTGGACCTTGTTCCAACCACAACAGGAAAAAAATAAAAAATAAAAAAGAGTAGGTCTGAAGTATACTTGGGAGCCTGATGAGAAGAAAATTTAAAACAAAACTCTGGGAAATGGATACAAATACTGACTATAGTAAGTCTTTCTTCATGGAGAAAAATGCTTTATCCTCTTGCCCTCCTGACAGGGTTTCTGTGTGTAGTCCTGGCTGTCCAGGAACTCAAGAGATCCACCTACCCCTGCCTCCTGAGTGCTGGGATTGAAGGCATGCACTGCCCATGCATGGCTAAAATGAGTGAGTGAGTGAGTGAGCGAATCTGTCTGTCTGCTTGCTTATTTATTTATTTGGTTTTTTTCAACAAAGGGTTTTGCTATGTAGCCCTGGCTGTCCTCAAACTCACAAAGATCCGCCTGCCTCTGCCTCCTGAGTGCTGGGATTAAAGGCATGTGTGCGCCGCCGCCACCACCACTACCACCACCCAGCTGCAGTAAGTGCTCTTAACCTCTGAGGTCTCTCCATACCCCAGTCTCTCCCTTTTTGAGATGGAATCTCACAATATAGTCCTGGCTATGCTTAAACTTTTGGCAATCCCTCCTGCCTCAGCCCCCTGGGTGTGCCTGCAATCTAAAGTTGTTGTGGGCAGGGCAGAATCTATACCACAGGTCATTGTGTGTGCCATCAGAATCACCTGCAAGGGGTGGGGAAGTGAGGTGGGGCTTGCTGAAGCACAATTTCTAGCAGACACTGACACTGCTGGCCTGGGAATGGTCTTTGAGAACCAACATAAATGTCTGTGTTGGAATTAAGATGATGACAGTTAAGCCACAATCACTTAACAGTAATTTTAAAAACCCTGTCTTATGAATTAAGACAAGTTTCAGATTTACAGAAGTTACAAAGATTTTTTTTTTCTGCACTTCTTTAACTCAGAGAACTTTCATCAAAACTTAAGAAACTCACACTGCAGATGTCACTCAGTGGTAGACTACACACTTGCCCAACATGCATTAAGCTCTAAGTTAACTCTCCAGCACCACAACACAACACTCAGAGCCAGACATGCTGGCTCACATCTACAAACCCAGTACTTCAGCAGTGGATACAAGAGGATGGCAAGTTGAGGCCAAGCCAGGCTACACAGATGTTTGGGAGGAAAATTTTTTTAAAAGATTAAGTGTGTGTGTGTGTGTGTGTGTGTCTGTCTGTCTGTCTGTCTGTCTGTCTGTCTGTCTGTCTGTCTGTCTGTCTGTCTGTCTGTCTGTCTGTCTGTCTGTCTGTCTGTCTGTCTGTCTGTCTGTCTGTCTGTCTGTCTGTCTGTCTGTCTGTCTGTCTCATCTGTCTCAGAGGTCAGAGGGGTGTGCATGACTCCTCTGGAGCAGTGCTTCTCAACCTGTGGGCTACAACGCCTTTGGGGTTGAATGGCCCTTTCACAGGGGTTGCCTAAGACCATAGGAAAACACACATATTTACTATTTGTAACAGTAGCGAAATTACAGTTATGAAGTAACAATATAAATAACTTTATGGTTGGAGTCACCATAACATGAGGAACTTCACTAAAGGGTTGATGCATTAGGAATGTTGAAAACCACTGCCTTGGAGCTATAGGCATTTGTGAGCCATCTGATATGGGAGCTGGGATCCGAACTCGGATTCTCTGCTAGAGCAGTAAGTGCTCTTAACCATTTGAGCCACTTCTCCAGCCCTAGGTAAAATCTTCAATTAAAAAGGGGTGTGTGTGAACTTGATAGTATATGAAGTACAGACCTTATACAGATCCGTTTTCTCCTGCCGGGAGCTTTATTTGCATCTGCATGTTGGACCTTTTCAGTCTTCTGAAAGCCGGCACTCGTTCTCACGTTCCCTTGTCGTTCATGACTGACACTTCTGAATCAGCTAATCAATAGGATCTCCCTCAACTCATGATCAGAACTAGGTCATTATTTGAAGGGTACAAGTGAGATGACAGGCCCTTCCCTCTCAGGGCATCAAATCAAAAGATATGTTAACAGTTCTGGTGATATTTGTCTTGATCATATGGCCCCACCATGGATGTGTAATTTCCCCTTTGGGAATTATTAAATACATCAGAGAAGACATTGAGGGTATGCAAATGGTTTCTACATTAAATTATGCCTGTTAATTCTAGTATCCTTTGAAGGATCTTGCCTAGTAATTTTCTAATGGTGAGTCTTAAATTTCTTTTTCCTTCTACATTTTTATAAATTGGAATCCTTCTATAGGGGAGAGTTGTGGTGTCTTCTCACATTTATTCACTCACTGTCTTTTATACGCATTAATAGAATCTTAAAATTTGCTTTTGGCCAATTATTTTTTTCAAAATATTGGTAGAAAACAACCACTTTTTCATCTGTAGTCCTAGTTCCCCCTAACAATATTATGGACTCAATTTTCTTTGAAACATTTTCTTGTTTTATTCATTTACCATTTAAATTAAAATTATTCAACATATATTAAAAGTATTTTTAAAAATTTTGCTTATTTTATGTGTATGAGTGTTTTGCCTGCATGCATACATGTACAATGCATGTGTATGTGTGCCTGGTACCTGAAGAAGCCAGAACACCACACCAGGGCCTCTGGAACTAGAGTTATGGACAGCTGTAAGTTTCCATGTGGGTGCTGGGAACTGACCCTGGGTCCTGTCCAAAAGCATCAAGTGATCTTAACCCCTAAGCCATCTGTCTGGTCCCATTAAAATTATCCTTATAAAATATTGTTAAAGATACACATGGATTAATAAACACTTATTGCATAAACTAGTAAGACTTTAAGGAAAAGAATCTGGTTCTTTCAGGATGGTTGGTGGTCCGTGCTTGTAATCCCAGGATTTAGGAGTTAGCTACATGAACCATGTCAAAAGTGGGGGTGGGGGGCTCAGGGGTAGAGGATCACCACAAAAGAACTCTGATCCCAATAATGGCAGAAATGTTACAATGAATTAATCCCTCTCCAGATAACAGTTTAACTAAAGTAAACCACTTTTGAAACTACCTGAGGAACTGAAGACTGACAAAATGGGTGGGAAAGGGAGGGGCACTGAAGAACTACACTGGGTGAGATGTGAGTTTGTGTTCCCCAGAAGCATGAAATAGGCAGTGCAAGGCGAAGGTGAATACAACAGTTAGGAAGCCACAGCCACTGGGTTGAGCTATCCAAGCACAGAGTTTAGAAATGCCACAGTGGACGGGAATTTAGAACAGAAATCCACGGTGGACAGAACCACAGGGGAAGGAAGAGGTTTTAAAAAATACATTTAAATTCTCCTTAAATCCATGTTTAATCCCCAATTGACACACATTAGGGGAGACTGAGAATTTCAATGGAAAGAGCAGCTGGAAGGCTGAAGGAACTGAGCCACACACGACTCAGCTTGTGCCCACAAGAACAGGTAAGAATTTAGATTTGACTTCTACATCATTAATGGGATATAGAAAGGATCTCGGGCTTCCCCGAGACACTGAAAAAGACCAGGAGTTGAGATGACAAAATGATCTAGGTCTAAGGGATCTGCTTTAGGTGTATGGGCAAAACAAACACACCCGTCATTTTCAGATGTCAGGCCAAGGTCCCACAGGTCACACTGAGCTCCTAGTATTTATTGTTTGTTTTTCGAGGCAGGGTTTCTCTGTGGCTTTGGAGGCTGTCCTGGAACCAGCTCTTGTAGACCAGGCTGACCTCAGATTCACATGTATCGGGCTGCCCCTGCCTCCTGAGTTAAAGGCGTGTGCCACTCCTGCCCAGTGAGCTGCTGGTATTTTAAACAGAGGCAGATTCAGAGTTTCTACAATGAATCATTTACACTATCCACTATATAACACAAAAATCACCACACTCGAAGAGCAGTCAAGAAGAAAGAAGAATATAAAAAATGACCTAGTTGAAGAGCACCTAAAGAGGGTTTTAATCTGTTCAATGAAATGATTAAATGAGAGATAATGATCACAGTGAGTAAAAAGATGGGGAAAAACTTTCACCAGAGAAAGGAAAACTAGAGAGACAGTATGGTGGTGTACACCTAGAATTCAAGACTGTAACTCCAGCTCTGAAGGATCTGATACCCTCTTGTCTGCACATTAAATCCACAGGCTTGCATACCTGTGGACACAGACACACACTCACACAGACACTATTTTTTTTTTTTAAAGGGAAATACAAGACAAATCTGGAAATAGTGTGATGGCCAAAAGTCAAAGTTACAGCCGAAGAGGTTCTTGGCCAATCTGGAAAAACTGCATACTAAGATAAAAAGATATCTGAGGAGGCTGAGGCAGGAGGACTGTTGAGAGTTGGAGCCACCATAGACTGCCTATACAGTGTGTTCTATAGAGCCAGTCTTTTTCTAGAGGAAGGAAGGAAGAAGAGAAGGAGGGAGGGAGGGAACCAAGAGAGTTGTGTTGGAAGTCAGCCTGCAATACACAGTGAAATGCTGGTTCAAAACAAACGTGGAGAGCATGAGACTCTAATTCCAAGCAGAG